TTCCAGGTCTGCGGGGATGATGCAGTCCTCAGTGAATCAGACTGGTCCCCAAGTGACTCATCTGTCTCCCACTTCACGAGAAACTTTTTGTGGTCACCCCCCTCCCTGTCGATGCAGCCCACAATGTTTCCACAAATGTCTCTTCACTTTCCTCTAATCTCACCTCAGTGGGGACTGTCTGCGTTGTGCGGGGCCTGCCCACACTCTGCCTCACTAACACCAAACACTACCACTCACTTACCCCCTCCTCATCCATGCCCTAAAACTGTAAAAAAAAAAATAAATAAAACTACGATATCCTGTTGCCTGCCTCCTAACATGATTTCTTGCATATTCGTTTGGCTTGTCCTCAACATCACAGTCCAGACAGATGGAGGCATCCAGGACATCACTGTCCAGACAGATGAAGGGATGGAGATGGGACTTGGACTAACTTTGGTGCCCCACTCTCAGGAAGTGCCCCCACTCCTGTAGGACACTAATTGTACCTTTTTTAATTGGGGCAGGGATCCTTCCTGCAACTGGGACTGGCATAGCAGGCCTTGCTACTGCCTCTCAAATCTATCAAAAACTCTCTTTACAACCAAGTATAGACAGCATCTCCTCCCTCCGGCAACAGGTCACCTCACTCACATCAGTTACTTTTAGAACCAAGTATAGACAGCATCTCCTCCCTCCGGCAACAGGTCACCTCACTCACATCAGTTACTTTATAGAACCGTCAGGTCCTTGACCTCCTTACAGCCAAGAAGGGAGTCACCTGCCTCTTCTTGGGGGAGGAATGCTGTTATTATGTAAATGAGTCCGGGGTGATCCAAAACAACTTAAACCATTTAATGGCAAGCATTGATCTCCATTGTAAAGAGTTACAAAACACAAACACACCTGGGGGGTGGCCCCAGTCACTGAATGCTAGGATACCCTGGCTTATGCCCCTAGTAGGACTTCTGACTGTGCTGGGACTCATCCTACTCTTTGGTCCCTGTCTCTTTTGGTGTTTCTCTAATTTATTGCAGGAACACATGCAGGCTTTCAACAACCAAAAGGTCACCAAATTATTCCTGTGAGGAGGATATCAGCCCCTCAGAATCAGCAACCCTTACCTGGAAGAATACAGCCTCCCCGCATGACACCAACACCCTGGCGCCTAATTGTTTTACCCACCAACATAAATCTTTTATTTTTTCCATATCTTTGCCTATCTTCAGTAGGGAGTAGCTTCAGAAGAATGAGACCTTTGCCCCTTTTTCCTTCTCCCTATACTTAAAAGGCAGGAATGATGGATCTTGGATGTGACTGGTGTCATTGTGCACACAATAAGCACAAAATAGCCACCAGCCTTGTCTTTCACTCCAGCACCAAACCCCTCCCCCCTTCCCTTTATGAGAAGCCTCGGGACTTCTGCAAAACAGAAAACTTTTTGCTGCTGCAAGGGTGCAATTCTCCACCCCAGTTGCAGAGCTTCTGCATTAGCATAATGCCTCTCCTTGATGGTATCAGCCAGCCCTTGGTGCCCTATATAAGCTCTCTCACCCCCTTACTAGGTGCCATCCCCCATTTTGAGGGCAGCCCCGGGCTTCCCTCCACTTTGAGCACAGACTGGCAGATTCTTTTCCTTTAATAAAGCTTGATTGGTACCTGGTGTCTCAGCTCACTTCCTTTCACAAACTAAATGGCAAAGAGAAGTCATTAGTGAATTGTGGTATGAGAAGCCAGCACAGCCTAAATGTGATCAGAGTTTGGTGAAACATCAGTTGATGCAGATGAACAAACCAGAGGAACTGCATGCAAGAACTTAAAACACGTAAATTTAAAAACCAAAACAAACCCAGAAGATTTCACATCCTAGCAAACAATAGAAAAGATTTAAGTAAATGATTGGTTTACATTTATTAGTTCATAGCACTAAAATGACCAACTTGCTACATCAATGAAGAAATTATTGTCTAATGTGGAAAAGACTAGAACAGTGTGAAATAAAGGAGCCTGTTAAAGTGCAAATGTATGATTAGGCATTACATTTTTTATAAAACAAAGACATTCAACATAAAACAATGCAAGAAAACAAAAACCCAACACTATTTCTTCAAAAGCATTTTTCAATCCCAATGCATTGAGTCTAAGAATAATGTTTGATCCCAATGCAGTGAGTCTAAGAATAATGTTTGGGTTCTTTAAAAGTAATTTCCCCCAGGAGTTACCAAAGACTTTGTTAAAAAAAAAAATCATTTTTATACCTTGGTTACGGAGCAAGGAAAGTGTTTTTCATGATATTAGCAATCCCAATGCATTGAGTCTAAGAATAATGTTTGGGTTCTTTAAAAGTAATTTCCCCCAGGAGTTACCAAAGACTTTGTGAAAAAAAAATCATTTTTATACCTTGGTTACGGAGCAAGGAAAGTGTTTTTCATGATATTAGCATTTCTAGGAGAAAACAACTTTTTCCTCAGACATGTCAATGGAAACATGAAATTATTGATCTGTTGCTACTTAAGGAGTTGCTAAACAATTCAATTCAGAAAACATTTACTGAATGCTGGAAACCTAAGTTAGATGAAGTCCTATGCCTTCCAATGGGCCAATGCTATTCTCGGAGCAGCTGGGACCCACTGCCCAGATGCCCCTACAACCCTAGAACAGCCAGTTATACATTTCTAAATTGTCTTTGTTCTCTGTTTCTCACGATCTAGCATTTTAATAGATAACATTCTATGCAAATCTGAAAATAATGAAACTTCTTAGCTCAATTAAAATACACATGGCTCCAGGAGGCCCTTAAAACATGTAATTGTAAATTACCATACTCTTGTCAGCTGATGAAAAACATTTGGATAGAAAAGGACTGTTGGCATCATTCCAATAACTTATATTCTGCTGTTTACTAAACCTGCAGGAGAATTGGGTGCATGTGCCTGGGCACGCACACACAGGCACACATGCACACACATGCGCACACACACACACAACAGAGAGGAAGTGGAGCCCAGAAGAAAAGCAAAAGAACATCAGAGGAACGTGTCTTCCTGCCAACATGGTTGCATGCTCACACACATAAATTATTTTCTGGGTTCAGAATAGTTTCATTATTGCTGTTGTTATGCAGCCTTGCTGCTTGTAACAGTCCTCAAGCTACACCAAGCAGACAGTTCGGTCAGTGACTATGAACTTAAGGTACAGCCTTTTCCCTTTCATATCTGTAGTGTCTTTCCTTTATCTCTAAAATATTCTGAAGCACAAATATCTTTTGACAGTTTGCTGCCAGATTAATGACTTCACTCTTTTGTTGCTAATGGTTGATTCTGGCATTTGGATAAAAATCGAAGTGACAAAAAAAAAAGCTTTAACTTGAAGCAGATTAGTTTTGAAAATTCTATTGTGTCAAAAAAATAAATGGCAAATAAAAATAATGTACATGACATTATTTTTTAAGTTGAAAACATAATTTTCTGAGTGCAGTAGGAGGAACGTTTCAATCACAACCTTCTGCCCCCCTACCTTGTACAATTATGTTTGCTTCAGCTTGAGCAGAGCCTTGGTTATTGCTGGCATGACAGGTAAATCGCCCGTGATCCTGCAGTGTGATGTTCTGTAAGAAAAGGCCCCCAGAAATCGCCACGTGCCTGGATCCATCCAGTGCCTCTCCATTGTCCCTGGTCCAAGTAATATGGGGGTGTGGGTGGCCTGTGGCCATACATTCCAAAGTCGTGCTGGAGCCAATTAACACCTCTGTGTCCTGTGGCTGGATCACAAAACTAGGTTTGGCTAAGGGCAAGAGGGGAACAAAACACAATACAGCAGCAGCAGTTAGGAAGGTTTATCTAAATTCTGCATTGTGGTTTTAAGACTATTGCCATTTTCAAAATGCCTTTATACTTAAATATTGTATACACATGTTAAGCTCCCAATGAATTAAATGTAAAATAGATTAAATGTGGTGGATTTGATTTAAATACATAATTTTTAAAAAAGACTGCTTGCCCTGATGCCATGGTATATCCTAAACACTGCCATGTGCCCACCCAATACGTATTCCTTATTTTAGGAGCTAAATGTTCAAATGTTCTCATTTAAAAATACTCACCTTTTTCTTATTTATTTATTTATTTATTTATTTTTACACAGTTCTTCTGAAGAGATGTAGGCACATGTCACTGGGAAGAGAATTTCCTTCCCTAATAAAGGGGCAAAGTCTAACAAGTCATTCCTCTTTCTCCTGTTTGCCACCTGGAATTCAGGCATGAGTTGGGTTTACAGGAGCCACCTCATGACGAAGAGATGACAATTACAAGGGAAAAAAAGAGGCTGACATGCAAAGGGTTGAAGAGTAGTTTGCTCAATGGGATAATGAGGCAGCCCTGTATAGACTGCCCCTGTACTACTTGTGATGTACAATGAAAACACACACACACAAAAAAAACACACATGCACACACACACACATACACAAACACATATGTAGGGTAAATGCTAGACATAGACCTATTCCCTCTCCCCATGCATAGCAGAGTTCCCTTTCCCTCCTGGGAAACTACCTCTGTCTAAGGTAATTACCCAAGGAAAGGCACATTCCCTTTAAGACAAACAGAGGGCTGGAGGAAGCTGAGTAAGTAAGTTAGTTACCCTAAGTAAATTAGAACACTGGTGTTAAACTACTCTAACCCAGGAAGGTAGTCAGTGGACTGACTTATCTACTTAGCCTGGTCTCCCCAGCACTCTGAGTTGGGTGAGGGTCTGTGCATAAGCATGAAAATTATTTACACCTCTACTTCGATCTGTTCACTATATAACTGTCAGATGTGCCCTATGGTGGGGCGGATTTCCAGCTGGCCATCCACGATCAGCAACTCCCGTAAGTCTAATAAACTGATGTCTCTACCCATTAGCCTGGGTGAGTTCTTTGGAATAGGCAAACATTATGAGAGTGTCCTCTCAGATTTGGGGCTCCTGCGATGCAACATACATACACAAACACACACACACACACACAAACACACATATACAAAATGAAACAAACACATACACACTATGTCTAAACTATGTCTATTCAAGATTTCAGTAACTTTCTGCAAAACATTTTACAAATTGATTCACCAAGTATATTTGTAAATGGAAAATTAAGACTTCCATATAAGGTGCTTCATTCTTACTAATTCATTTTTCATCTTCTTGAGAGTCTCATGCAATAATTAAAGACATAGTGAAGGGTTAAAAATGCCTAACAACTGAATCTACGTTTGGTGGCTCCTCAGTTCCTGAGATGAACATACCCTGGACATAAAGATAAATTGATTTCATCTAATTCAGCAATCAAGATTTAATTCAATTTATAACAATATTGACTGTCCTGAGTATATTAGTAAAATGGTAGATATTGGAAAGATATCAAGCCTCACAAGACTCATTTCTTCCATACTCATGCTCTAGCTACCAGGACAGTGACAGAACACTGAGTCTGTGAATCCACAGTCCACCTTGGAAAGAATTACCTTAGCACTGGGTGTTCAGTGCTGTAGAACATGCCGGCAGGAGGGAAGGACAGTACAGGGAAAACCACTGCAATCACTGAAATAAGAAAACGTTTTGAACTAGGTCAATGGTGGTAGAAAGGGAAAGGAAGACAATCCGATTTATCTCAGAAGTAAATTTTTAGAGACTTGAGGAAGAAAGAGTAGCAATATGTCTGTGGGATGTGAACAACGGACGTGTGAAAGCAAGAAGATAATGGCAACGTCGATCCAAATCTTAGGAAAGATACCAGCAACAAAAACTATGAATCTTAGATTAGTTATTAAGGTCGTTTGGGGACTGTTTCAAAACTCAAGGAGAGCTCAGAGGAGGAAAAAAAACGTGATAAGGGCAGAGGAGGCAGGAGGGGAGGCCACTGCAGGAGCGCCCAGAGGCGGGCCCAGGACGCCAGGCAGTGACCAGGAGGTGGCGCTCCAGAGCCAAGGCAGGGACGCGCGTGCGCAGGGTCGGCCGCCAAGGTGACGGGGCGGTGGGCGGGGGCTGTGGGAGGAGGAGCGGTCTGTCAGTTCGGAGTCACTTGGGAACCACCGGAGGAATCCCCATATTCGAACCATCCCCGGTTCAAGTACGCTTGCTCCTGGGCCGGCTCTGGCTCACTGCCACCTTCTCTGCCGGGGTCCCCGCCCCCATGGTGCCGCCAGCTCCCTTCTGCACCCGCAGCAGCCCGCTGACTCTTCACGTCACCTGCCCTCCTGCTGCTCTTCCAACTGCTGCCAGAGACACCTTCAGAAAGAAAACTCTGACTCCCGCCGCTCTCGAGCAGAGTCACGAGCAGCCTGAGTGATCTGACCCTGACCCGCCTCAGCCTCACCAAAGCAACTCTTAGGCCCGGCCCTTCCTCTGTGCCCGCCAGGCAGTGCCTTGCTCTGTCTTCCCTTACGCTGCCCTTTCTCCTAAAATAGTGTTTTATCCCTACTTATCAGCCCTGCTATCTTTCTCCCACGTCCCTTGCTCCCGGGAAAACCTTTCTTGAGTGAAGGCAGCCCCCCAATGTCTGCAGCAAGGGCTCCCCTCTGTGTGTGTGGAGCCAGCTCCGGAGAGCCAGCCGCCAAATTCCCAGCACTCTGCAAGGTGGTCCTTAAGTATAGCCATTGTTAGCACTTTAAATTACAGAAATTTACAATTAAACGAATTTCATTAATATCAAAGTTAAATTTTGAAATCCATCACTTCTAATTATTTTGGTACATTTTACTGTTATCTACGGTCTTGAGATTATTTATGTTCATCATGGCTGGTTGGTGGAAACATGAGGGTACTTCAGAAAGCTCATAGGAAGATTGAATTAAAAGATATTATGAATCTTTCCGTGAACTTTTTGAAGACCCTTGTACTGTATCATAGTGAACTCCTGCACATCTCTTCCCAGCTCCACATGCAGGAATGTCATGTTGGTAACTAGAAATGGGCCATGGGGGGATTATTTATAACACAGAAATTGACAAATGCTGCAAATCAGCCTTCTCCCCTCCCCAGAGCCAGTTTTTAAATATGTACCAGCACACAACTCTCCTTTATGCTTCTATCACCTCTTTACACATCATAAAACTTATCATTTTGTTGAATTATGGCCATCACCTAATAGTCTATAGGTTCGGTAAAATGAAAGACAATGTATTTCCACCATCTCAAAATGATGTTAATAAAAATTTGTCATTGTCACCATGTCTGGTTTATATAAGCCATTGAAATTATGGAAAAGCAAAGCTCTGAGAAAGTTGAAGGAGCATGGCTGTTAACCATGCAATCCCCAACAGCTAACTCAGTGTGCATTCAATAAATGTGTTGAGTGAATTCCTGATGAGTAAATGACTGAATGAATTTCTGAAGAGGATGATATTCCTGCCCAGGTGACACTGGTTCACTCTGTCTCAGGATGTGGAAAGTTGGATATTTGAAAGGAGAACAGCAAAGTCTTAGAACCACATCTTAGTGTACTGGAAAAGAACAGAACTGAGGCTGAAATCAAATTTTAAGAGAAAAAAATCAAGATTCTCTAAAACAAGATTAGAAAAATCACAGTTAATGGCAATCGTTTAAGCATTACATACTTTAAAGAAGCAATAGAAGGTCATTTTCTAGTGGAAATAACTGATGGATAACTGGTGCATTTATATTAAGTCCAACCAGAAAACAAAAAGATTTACCCGGAAGACTGGAATATCTGAGCATGGCATTCTGCGTCGTGACCTCCCCAGCAGAGTTTCTGGCCATACACTGATAGATTCCTTGGTCTGACTCTCTGGTGTTTCGGATCATGAGTGTCCCATCATCAAACATGTTAAGTCGAGCATCGTCTTCCAAATCCAGTGAATGGCTGGACATAAATGAAATACACACACACACACATATAGTGATTTAGTGCCACTCATATTTAAAACTCTTAAGACAGAATATAGGACTTTATGTTTCATGTATACCAATTTGTTAATTTTTTATTATCTGAATAATTCAAGTTATTTTACTTTAAATTGTAGTCACCCCCTTCCCCTTTCTGAGATTATACCCTGAGCACAAACTGTAATACCACACATGGTAGAAGGGATGGAGTTTCCAACGCCCTGCACTCCTGGGCAGCATGAATGTAGATAGTGATGCAATCTCTCCTATGAAAGGGATGTTTCAGCACATTTTTACACTTCTGAATTCTTACTTTTAAAAAAAGGAATCATCAGATGGTCAGATTTTCATTCTTTCCCTGAGTCATTCAGTATACTTTCATATTTTGTTAAAGTGTAAAAGAAATATCCATAGTCAAACCAACATGGCTCAAAGTCAAGTATAATTACACAACTTAGCACTGAAAAAGCGTACACCACTGACCCATCTGTTGGACATTAGGCCCTCTTAATTGACCTAGACCATTTTGGATATACTACAAAAATGCCATCTGTCAATTAAATGGATAATTCATTGAGTACAAGTAGGTTTAGATGTATATACCATCAAATTACATCAATAATCACAACAATTGGAGTGCTAACATGGGTTACTTTTAGCAATAAATGCAATATTACTGACACATAAACGTATGTTGAAAATGTTTACAGAATTTTTTTTCTGGTCTAGATTTTTCTTCCTTTAAAAATACTCAGTGATTATGTGTGAGGAAGTATGTGGGCGTTCACACAAGTATGCATATTTCTAATATATGTATTAGGCATAGAAAAAGGAAACCTACCCCCCCATCATTCATCATTCATTAAACATGTATTAAACATCTAAAATGTGCCACCCACCAAGAACACCCTTCACAGAGGAGCAAGTCCATCGGGAGAATCCCGTTAATCTCCCTTTAATCTGTTTGCTAGTTTTACAAAGTCAATAGGATCCAAGTAAACATTTTTCTGCTAATTTCAAAATGTGCAAACACTGAAGAATAACTCAGCCTGTTCTCGTATATAAAAACAGGAAAGCACGTTGAAGAGATAGAGAAATTATCATCCTTATTTAAGAATTTTGTCATAAAAGATAAGAAAGCAGCAGACAATGGCTACATTTCACTTTTATTTTTTAGAGTGGAGCAGAAGAGAGAAGACAGGACAGATGGAGACTATCTGTTCTTCTTCAACCATTGGGTGAGAAAAACCTATGTGAAGAAAAAGTAGCAATTAGCCAGATGAGAACTTCAAGTTGTCATTTTTGAAGAGATTAGCTTTAGGAAAAACAGGACTGCTTTCAAATGGCCAGCAGTGCAAAGCACAGACAACGAAAGTAGATGGTGGATGTTCCTGTAAGTAGAGCTGCCAAAGCCACTCAGTGTAAGTAGCAGGGAACAAACGTCAGAGAACATGTTTTCTTAAAGTGCCCAAATTCTAAAGGCTCATTTAGTATTCAGCAACTAAATCATTTTAAACACAATTTAAAAATTAACATTGAACCCAATTAAGAATACTTGCAAAGGAATATGCCAAAATAATGGAATCTCATTTCTCAGAAGATGATTTAGTTCCCTAAAATTTTGCTCCAATACTCTGCACCCCAAAATACCAAAGGCTACCAGATGTGTACATGCTATCTATTATCAGGCTAGACAATGCATTAGAACACACTGAGATTCACTAGTTAAAAATGATATAAAATGAACATCACACCCAGAAATTTAAAATATATAACACCAATAAATTTCAAATGCATTATTCCTTTTCCTGGTTATTTCCTCTTTGTTCATATCTTTCTTATTATGCTCATAAAATTTGCTTGCTCATGAATCATGATGTTCCTTCAAAAAATCAAAGTAAGCCCTTTGTTCAATAGATTTCTTTCACATTGCCAGTTAGAAGCAAACTGAGTAGCAATCTTATACAAAAACACAAAGGTTTGCATAAGTGCCATATACTTAACTTTTTTCCCCTGGAAAATGTGCAAATAAGCACATTCGATTTAATGAAAAAGTATCAAAAACCTCTATGAACGCAATTCATTGGAACAAGCATTTGTCAAGTGCTTTCTAAGTACTAGGTGCTATAGCTAGGTATCAGAAATATAAAGGGGAATAAGTTGTTATCACACAAATTAAAGATGTCCTCCACATACAAAGCCCTCTTCAACCATAAATTAGAATACAGTTGTAAGGCTTGCTTGTAGTCTACTGGACTATCATAATCATAATTACCACAGAATTTAAATTTCTTTAGAATGGCCTAAATTTCCATGGTCTAGAACCTCAACATTAAGAAAGGTATGGCTGGTTTAAAAATTTCTTTTACTATGTCACTACCTTGCTCAACATCTTCTAGTGGCTCCCAAAGATTATAAACTGAAAGCCAAAGTCGGGAGCTATCTAGTTATTTTGAAATCTTTTTCAAGTTCTCCCAAGGCAAAACCTTTATTCTAACATATATGTCTGCCCTCTTTCCTGAGTCTAATCCTTATTCATTTCCATTTTGTCTTTCCTCATTCTTCCTCCAGCCCGGAATAGTTACCCTACTCTTTGAATTTATTCAATTAGTTATTTTAAAACTATTTATTGAGTACTATTCCTATGTGCTTGTATTCCCTCCACTTTCTTGCTGAGAAGCCTACAAAATCTCCAAAATTTCCTTGACAATTGGTTGATTTCTAATCTTTTAAAAACTATGGTCAAAGAAAAGAGTCTTTAGGAAATCAATACTTTGCTATGTTTTGAGATTATGTATTTTTAATGTGTGGTCAGTACTGATAAATGTTTCATAGTTGCTTGAAAAGATAGTATAGGTTAGCATTTTGCGTAGCAGATATAACATCAGTGTTCTTAACTATGTTTATATATTCCTACTAATTTTTGTTTTTAATTTTTTTGAAAAAGTAGTATTAAAATTTCTCATTATAATTGAGTTTGTGCCAATTTATCCATGTAATTATCTCCATTTTCTTTGATTGTTTGCCGGCTATTTAGTTAGATATACAAAGGCTCATGAATCTTACATCCAGATGAATTGTACCTTTTATCATTAAAATTGATCTAATGATATACAATTACACTACTGCCTTGAAGTTGATTTTAGTTCACATTAATAGTACTATATCACCTTTATCTTGAATAGTATAACTTGGTTGTTATATCTGTTTATCAACTTACCACCTCCCAGTGTCATAATGTTTGAGATATGCCATTTATAAGTATCATATAGCTGGATTTTTTAATCCAGTACTATAATGTCTTTCAATGGGTTATTTGTTGTTTTTACTAATGCATCTAAATTTATTTCTGATGAGTTATTTTTTGTTTTGTCTTTTCCGAGCCTTTTCTCTGCCTTTTTAATTCTCTCACTCCTTTCCTTTTGTTAGATTGATCCTGTCCTCCTTATCCACTTTTTCCCTCCTGGTAGTACAGAATGATCTTTCTATTTCTTAGTATTTCATCTTAATTTTAACAGGCATTTTTGACTTAACAAAAGCCAAAGTAAATATCACTCTTCACCTAAAAAATGAGGCACAAATGATTTAATTATGTTCTCTATCCTTACAACTCGTATATTAATATTGTCTAACATTTTACTTCTCCCTTACTTTAAATTTATTCAATACTTTATTTAACAATCTCAGTTTGTTCATACTTATCAACATTTTTAGAAATTACTTTGCTCACCTTTGCTTCTCACATGTCACATTTTCCTAATCGACCAAATATCCTACTTTCTGAAGCACAACTATTTGTAGCTCTTTTAGCAAATACTACTGAGTAAAGTTCTATTCTTTGTCTGAAATGTTTTCAGTTTACCTTGTCAGATAATTTAGCTGGATATAAAATGGAAGGAAATCAGGCATTTTGTTTCCTGAACAACCTGAATATATTTTATTTCCTTCTGTCTGACATAAAGCTTACTGCACATGTAATTGCTGTACATTTGAAGGTAACCTGAGAATTACCCTGGAATGAAAGATTTTTATGTCTATCTTTCAATGTTGTGATCACAATGCACCAGGTATGGATTTTTTTTTTTTAATCCTGTTTGGGAATCAATACAATTCTTAGTTTGAAATTACATGACTTTTTCATTTCTAGAAAATTCCCGGTGGTTACCTCTTCAAATATCACTTCTGGCTCATTCTCTCTAACCTCTGTTTCTGTAATTCCTACTGGATATATGTTTGATCTTTGAATTTAAGTCTCCGTGTCTCTTAAACACTCTGAAATCTGGCTTACTCCAAAAATATACCTTCTAATCAATTCATTTGACCTTGGTTGTGTCTAATCAGTCCTTAACCTACTCCTTTAAGTATCCTAAAATCAGGATAGAGGTTATTCCCAGAGGGGGAGAAAAGGATAGTGTTAAGGAAGAGACTCATGGGCAGTTTCTAGTTAGTTGCCAGTGTTTTTTTTTTTTTTTTTT